GCTGCCACTGCCACGGAGGCCCCAGCCGCCACGGCGCCTGCCACAGAGGCCACTGCCTCCCCCAGCGTCCCTGCGGCACCACCCTCCACGGCCACCACTGCTGTTGTAAGGACCACCAGCATCCGGAGGCTTCTGCCTCTTCCACTGACCACAGCAGCCACGGCCCAGGCCGCCACGCCAGCCGCAGCCTCTCCTCCCACCACCGCAGTCATTCTGGACACAGAGGCCCCAACACCTCGGCTGGTCAGCACGGCTACCTCCCGGCCACGAGCCCTCCCTGGGCCAGCGACCACCCAGGAGCCCGAGTTCTCTGACAGGAGCACCCTGCCCCTGGGGACCACTGCCCCCGGGCCCACGGATGTGGCTCAGGTGAGGGAGGCAGAGTGGGCAGAGGGGGTGTCAGGGCCTGGGGGCGATGGAGACAGCAGGGGTGAGGGCTGGGAGCTTCCAGAGGAAGGCCCTAGGTGAGCCAGGGTGGAGGGTGTGCGAGCCATAGGGCCAGGATGAGAGTGGGGACACGGAGACAGAAAAGGGCCGGGAGGCCAGGCGTGGCTGGGTGGGTCTTAGCGTGGGAAGGGGACAGGGTGGACATGTTGGTATCGGGAGTGGCCAGGCATGTGTCCGGTAAGAGTAGCCCCAAGCCGGGATTTGAGTCCCTGTCACCTGCTGGCTTCAGGCTGGCCCTGAGCTTCAGCCCCTCCCGTGTCCTTCCCACAAAAAGGAGCACATGCCCGTGTGTGTGCTGTGGCATCGCGAGACGGTTTCCTGACATAGTCGAAGAGCTCGGGATGGTGCTGGTGACAGTGGCACACTCCGGACCCCTCTTGTCACCCTTCTTGGAACTAGGGTGACAGAAAGCGAGGCTTCCCCAAGGAGCTGCCGCCTGGGCTCAGCGCTCAGCACTTTCCCTGTGTCGTCCCCTCTGACCCTCACGCCACGCCCTGGGGTGGCCCTGGGCGCCTCTCCTTCCACACCTGTGCCCACCGGCACGTGGCATGTGAAGCCACTCCCTGAGGTGCTCAGCCAGGCTGGCGGGTGTTCTGGGTCCTGCGTGCACACATGTGCATTTGGGGTGCTGTGGGTGGGGTGGGGGTTGCAGGGATGTGGAGGGAGCTTCCAGGAATGCGGGGGGTCGGGGGACCGGGACACGGGGGGTGTAGTTGGTCCCAGCTGGGTGTTCTGGGCCAGCAGGGGAGGTGGTGACATGGCCCGGGGTACCAGGGGCCTCTGCAACAGGCCTCACAGGGGAAGCCCCCGGGCCCTAGAGCCGCCTTTGGGTGCATGTCAACCCCAGCAGGGTATGGCGTGGCCTGGGCTCCTGGAGCAGCCAGGCAGCTGGTGTTTTCAGGCCATGTGCGCGGGCCGGGAGTGTGCGGGCCTGGGCACTGCAGCCCCGTGCTCTGCTCCTCGCAGGACCCTTCCCACGCCCACACCTGATGGAGCTGCATCCCTGCCTCAGTGGTTCCGCAGTCCCACGCAGGGCCACCGGTCCCAGCTTCGATTTCTGTGTTGGAAACCACTGGGGCTCGGAGTCTGGGCGGGCCCCTGGGTCCCAGCCCCCAGGGACACAGCGGCCTCAGGTTGGGGCGTGCTCTCTGTCTGGCCCCCAGGCTCAAGGCCTCACTTCTGCCTTGAGCATGCCAACCAGGAGCAGGCCTGCACTCACAGCTCCCCAACAACTTCTCCACATGAACCCCCATCTCGCAGTTTTAGCAGCCAGAGGTGAAGTGATGGGGACAACATGGGACAGGGTGGCCAGTGTGAAAGCAGTGTGGCAGAGTGGTGAGAGCACACGTGGATTGGGTGGTCTGCTTTGAGCTCTGCTTCTACACGTGTTTGCTGCGTCCTCGGGCGAGCCGCCTAGCCTCTCTGCGCCTAGTCCTGGTCTGTAACTTGGGCCATGATGGCTCCTTCGCGGGACCGTGCTCAGCGTGGTGTCTGGCACACTGCTTAGCAAGTGTCAGCCCCACCGGGGCAGTGGGTGGAGGTGGTATGTGTGCACGCGTGTGTGTGCCTGTGTGCATGTGCGTGTGCAGCCGCCCCTTGGCAAGGGTGCTGGGCCTAACTCCTGGGCAACGTCCCCCTCTGCAGACCCCCACTCCGGAGTCCTACTTGACCACGATCCGGGATGAGCCGGAGGTGCCAGTGAGCGGGGGGCCCAGTGGGGACTTCGAGCTGCCGGAGGAGGACGCCACACAGCCAGATGCAGCCAATGAGGTGGTGGCCGTGGGCGGGGCTGCGGCCAAACCGTCCCCTCCCCCTGAGACGCTGCCCAAGGGTGGCCGCCCCGGCCCGGGCCTCCTGGACAACGCCATCGACTCGGGCAGCTCCGCAGCCCAGCTGCCTCAGAAGAGCATCCTGGAGCGGAAGGAGGTGCTCGTAGGTGAGGCCTGGGTCTGGGAGGGGCCTGCAGAGCAGCGGTGGGTGCAGTCTGCCCCTGGGAAGCCAGGGGACATCGGTGTGCTGTCCCAGGAGCCGAGTGGGAAGGGAAAGCGGTTGACGTTAGGCCTGCCCCGGCTCCTTCCCTCCCAAAGTCTGGCCTTTTGGGCCCCGACTCTGGCCTTCCCTCGGTGTGTGCTGGCCGCTGCTGTCCTGGGTCTCACTGGTTGGCCCCAGACCTCACTGCCTGGATACTAATCTGACCCGCCCTCTGGCTTCATTGTCCCCCTTCCTTGACCCCGGCATCCTGCCATGTCCCGATCTGGAGAGTCTCCACACCCTTGGTCCAGTCCCACTCCCACTTACGGAGCAGTGTGCCCTGGGCACAGGACCACCCTCGCAGGACACGTAGCTGGGCCGTGCAGCTCAGCTGGCGCGGTGCCATTCCGGGGCCGCGGATGAGTGGTGGCACTCACGCCTCGCTCCTCGGGCCGCCGGGGCTTCGATGGGTCCGAGTCTGTGCGCGAGGTGCTTAGGGTGGAGCCGTGGGGGTCCGCGGTGTCGGGGTACTGGCCCCCACCTCGCCCTGACCGTCTCAGACCCGGGCTTCCCGGCCCTCTGCCCCTCTGCAGCTGTGATCGTGGGCGGGGTGGTGGGCGCCCTCTTCGCCGCCTTCCTGGTCACGCTGCTCATCTACCGCATGAAGAAGAAGGACGAGGGCAGCTACACGCTGGAGGAGCCCAGGCAGGCGGCCGTCACGTACCAGAAGCCCGACAAGCAGGAGGAGTTCTACGCCTAGCGCAGCCGCCCTTCCGTCCAGCCCGGGCCTGGCCCTCCAGCCCCAGCCCAGGCCTGGGCCGAGAGGGAGCCTGGCTCCAGCTCTCCCCTGCCCTCCCCCCCAGGCCTGCCCAGGTTGCCAGCCTCGTGCAGGCCTTCCCTGTGGGACGGTGATGCCATCCACCCGGCCTTGGCCTCACGGGCTCCGCTCTTGTCCTCCCCCGGTCTGGAGCTTCGGGACCTCGTGTCAGATGGACAGGAGGAAGGGAGCTTCTGATTGGCTGGTAGAAAAACGGCCTGTGCCCAACCCCCAGGGGTGGCCGAGGTCTCCATCCGGGCCGGAAGCCCTCCGGCTGGTTTCTAGGACCAACGTTTGGCAAACGCAAGCCCTCGGAATCATCTCGACACTGCCATGGCTCACTCCCGACCCAGGACCTCTGCCTGGCGGGGGAGAGTGTCCCTGTCACCAGCCTGTTTTGTCCTGGCCTCTGGGCTCATGGGGTCTCTGTCCCACAAAGCCGCCTAGCACACCTGCACCTGGGCGCGCCTCTTCCTGCAGTTCCCCGAGAGCCAGGGCGGCCACTGCTGTCCTCCCTGCAGGGTCCTGGACACAGCCACCGTCGCCGGGCCGCCGCCCACCTTGTCACGGTCACACACGGACAAGCACGTAAAGCCGAAATCACAGCTCTGACCACCCGTCAGCCAGGACCTCCGCTGACGCGCAGAGGTGGCCATCTGTCGCGTGCACACCCAGACACATGCCACAGTGAGGTTCCTAGGCACGGTCACCGGGGCACAGGTGCCTCCGCCGTCCTCCCGCCTCGCACACGCACCACACACGTCCTTGCCAGCGTGCAGGCTCACTGGGGGAGGGGAGCCCAGCCAGAGCCATCAGCCCACATTGGGCCCCACGCCACGGCGCCCACACCATCCGTGTTCCCCCAGCCCTGGCCGTGCCAGGCAGTCCCGTGTGTTCTGGGGACGACAGACGGCTGTTCCCTGGATAAAGCGTGGCATGGGGGTATTGCCACAAGCCCTCTCAGGGCCCGCGCGCCGAGGGGCTGGCTTACCCCCTGCCTGCTTCCCGCCCTGTAGCCTGCAGAGGTTTCGGGGGCAGCCCCCCACTGGCTGGGAGCCCGAGGAAGGGTTGGTTCCTGGAATTGGGCCCAGGCTATGGAGGGTGCTTAGGTCTTTCGGGACCCAAGGCCCTGGGAGGGGAGGGGTGTGCGGTCTGCCTCCTGGCCTCCCCGTCCCCTCCCTGCTCTCAGGGGGGCTGCTTCCCAGACACCGTCTCCGAAGTGCCTGTGAGGGTGGGCCCTTGGCCTGGCCCCTCTGCGCCCTCTGCCCTCGGCCTGGCCTGGCCTGGCCGACCTCAGTCCCACCTACCCTGGTGCCCTCCAGAGGCCAGCCGCCCCATTGGCCAGCAGCTCACTGGGTGGACCAGCAGCTGGGAGTAGCCGTCCAGATGCCCCTGGCGGAGGCTTGGGGACTAGAGCAGGTGACTGTGGGGGACTCGGGTGTCAGGCCCAGCCCTCCTCCGCCCTCTCTCCCCTGCCGCTGGGGCCGTCCCGTAGGTGTCTGCAGTCCGGGCCACTCATTGACAGGGGCTCTGGGGGCCGCAGGGTGCTCACCCCACCCTCACCCACACCTAGATTCAAGTCAGAAACACCTTTTATTTCTGTTTCCTTTTCAAGACGCCCTGACGGCGGATTTCTGCAGGGCGAGGGCTGGGTGCTGGAGGCAGCAGGGCTGGGCTCCAGGGAGCCGTTCCAGGGACCCTCCTAACTGGGGGGGGCGGGGGGGAGCCGTTCCAGGGACCCTCCTACCTTCAGGCCGAGGCTCCCCTTGGCAGGGCCTGAGGCCTGTGAGCAGGGGTGGGAGTTGGGTGCTGGGCCCATGAGGTCAGAGGCGGCGGCTGCCCCGGTCATGCCTGGAGCAGAAGGGCTGGCCCAGGCACAGAGGCGGCCAGAAGTGTCGGTTGCCCTTGGCCCCTCGGGCCGTCTCTGGGACAGCCGCTCTGGTGAGGCCTGGGCGGGCCGAGGCTAAGAAACCAGGGAGAGGACAGAGGCTGACGCCCAGGAGCAGCCAGGCCCCCGCCACAGGGGCCCAGAGCTGGGCGGGAGACCCTGCAGCGCGTGCAGCTCCCACACAGGGCAGGGCGAGTGCGGGGCGGCCCCGGGCCCTGCTGCTCGCACACTGAGCTGGCCTCTGCAGGGCCGGCGGCTCACCTTGGTTGGTGGCCACCCGCCCCCGCCCGCCCCGGGCCACCCGCCCCAGCCAGCCCGGCTGCGGCGAGGCCATCTGAGAGTTTGGTCGAAGGAAGAGCTGGGGCTCTCTGAGGTGCAGGGCGGGCGTAGGCCCCACCACCCCCAGGCCTGGGGCAGGTGCGGCGGGGCCTGCCCCAGTGGTCCGAGGGCACCCCAGTGCTCCTGACTCTAGGAGACACGGAGAATTCCAAAGGAGAGGGGGCCCTGGGGCCCTGGCTGTCCGCGAGCC